CCGTGTGATCGGCTGGAGAAGCTAACGGCTAACGCAAAACGGTCAAGACTCTGGATTTCCCATTACTGTACATGTTGACAACAGAGCAGAAAAAAAGGACTGACGATGTAGAATCATAAAAACTATTAATAATAGCACTAACCCAATTATTATTAATATTTTAGTTTATATAATCTGATGTTTTAAATAATGTCAGTAAATCAGTTTGTGTTGTAGATTTATTAACAGAAGATAAACAGGAAAACGTCTCATTTTACAACACAAGTCAGCAGATTTGATCTTATTGAGCTCAATGTGATCTGAGCAGAACATAATGTAACAGTTTAAAATTAAAATAATCTTATAAAGTCCATGTAATCACTGTTATTTATTGAACTGGTAAACAGATATTAGCTTGTGGAGCATATATACAGAGTTTAGCACTGTTGAATCACGCTACAATTTAACACAAACTATTAAATATTACAGCTGATTTGTCCTCTGATTAATATTTAGACCTACAGAGTGTAAAATAATATTATAAATGTGAGTATTTTTAGATTTCTGTTAGAGGAACCTGACCTGTTAAGAAGATGTTAGCTAATAGAGACAAGTTTCATCCTATGACCAGAGAACATTTTCTAACTGTTGACTGGTAAATATAAATATTATTATTTTTTACGACAGTAAGAAGAAATAATAAATAAACTTTATTACTAGCTGAAGTCATCATTTTCAACTAGCAAAAGTCTAAGTTACAGGCTGACTTCTGGTCTGGTTTAGATCATTGTTACTTATAAATTATATATTTTTCTGGTATAAATCTGCTGTTTGACATGATTGTTGAATGAAATTAACATAATTATTAATTTATTGTAAAAACATGACAGATAATTTGTGAAACAGATCCGGTTCAGCTGCTGTTTATCTGGTAGTTTCTATGGAGGCTGTGAGCTGTTGTCCTGTTTGGTCTGTTTCTGCTCCTCCATGCTGTCACAGATGCTACCATTGGACGGTATGGGCAGGGATCAGTCTAGTGATCTATATATTTGTCTATGGTCTCAGATCAACTCATTTTAATGCTGTCTCTTAAAATCTAAAGGATAACTCATACTCCGCCCCCCTCCAGCCTCCAGACCGGTGCCTTCTAGCTTGGTAGAGGGGTTTACCACTATGTAGCAACGCAGAAAATCTTTAATTAGTCTGACCCAGAGCCAGAGGAGAATGAAGACAACCAAACTGTAGTTGGTAAGTCCTGACCTTATTTAGAAGTTCTGTTGCAAAAACTGTGATGTAATCATTTAGAAAAGATCCTAAAAATAGAGAAATATGACCCAAACAGAATATTAGAGATATCATCACAGCACTGGGAGAAACTAAATTCAAGTACACAACAAAAATGCATTTAACTGCTAAAAAAAGTAGATTTTGTACATGTCCCCTTTAAAGTAACATCCATGTGAACTCCTGGACACAAGACCAAATCCCTGCTGAGAATTTTTCCTTAAAAAAGGCACAAGAAAGCATAAATTCTGCTGCAAATTCCTTTCCAGGAAAGCAAACACTCAAAAAGTGACTCATATAATCAGATTTCTGCTCCCTGATGAAATGAATGTTGTTTTAAAACTTTACAGAAAATTATGATGAGTCAATTAAACTTCAGGCTGCAGTGATTTGTTCAGCTTTTGGGAAATAACTTCGTACTGTTAGGTGCCAATAAATTGTGACTGCAGAGATTTTCTTTAATGAGTTTAGCTGTCTGTACTTGCTGCCCTGAAGTTTGATCTTAACTATTTAAAATGAAGTGAAATCTACAAGTTAAATAGTGTAGCTGATTAAAATGTGGATTTCCCCTCTAGTTGTAGTCAGAGTACTGCATAAAGTGGCCTCAAATTAAAACTACTGAAGTGAAGTGAAAAAGCTTTAAATTRAAACCTCAGCACAGTCCTCGAGTAAATGTACTTTTTCACCACTGCTTTTCTGTCACTCTATCTCTTTCTGGCTCTGCGTCTCTTTCTGCAGACACTTTCCAATCTCTTCTTTCTATATTCAATTTTGTTCTTTTATTCCCTCATCGGTGCAAGCCTATTCTCTCTGCTTCTTCTTCTTTTTCTTTTTTCCCCCTGCTTACTTCTTTCAAAGCATCACATCTACTTCCTCCTTCCTCTTTCCTCCTCTCCTGGGAGTAAAGATACTCTAATCCTCTCTGTCTAATGCTGTCAATAGCTCTCAATAACAATGAAATAGCACCGTTTTCTATTTCGGCACTGATTAAGCCATAACCTTAGTTAGGATCTTATTCGTCATCGGGGCAATCCAACTCTTGGTAATAGCCAATCAGATGGCTCCAGCGAAATGCACTGCTCCCATGATAGGTTCCCCGTTGTTTTGATTGACCGCACCTGAGGGCCCGCCACTTCGGCCGGGCTCGATCAATAACCCATCACGCACACGAGGTGAGCTCATATAAAAACCCAGGTAGATGAAACACAGCAACACACACACACTTCTGGGGGGAGAAGCAGARTGAGACAGTGAGACCACCGGAACGGGAAGCAAACAGAATAGTGTGGAAGTGGCCAGCAATGCGTGCGACTTATGGCGCAGTCTGAATAATCATTTGTTGCGTAACCGTCATACAAACACAAATAAAACAACAGCATGGAACTTTGTACTTGTTGGTGCAGAGATTTTATTTATTTATTTATTTATTTATTCAGTTACTGGCAGCTTTGCAGTCACATGCTGCGTTAAGCAAGAATGATGTATTGAAGACAGTAAAAGGGAAAACGACTCCCACTCTGTGCCTGTTATCCTATGTTGTGTCACACATACAGATGGCCTCACATAAGCCCTGCCTCTGTTCCCTCTGAGCTGTGGAAACCATAATGAGAGCGGCACAGCCATCTGCACAGTATGGTGTATGCCATTAGTATTACAAACATGTTGACGCACACGTTTGACCACCCATTGAACGAGAGGTACGTTCAGTCAGGAACGATGGTCAGCGACTGGATGGAGAGAGGAAAGCAAAATGGAAGGTTGTAAAAAAAAGGAGTCAAACAGGGGTTTTTTTTGGTTTAAAGGGATCCCGATAAGTTGTAACATTAGACTTTATATGATAAACATATACTTTAACTGTAAAATAAAGACTGTAAAAATACTGTAGGGTGTTCAGTTTTTATCATTTTTAAACRAYAAGTTAAAAAATATATTACACAGACGGGGCCATTTTATCTACATGCAAAGCATTCTGGGTAAATGATGATGTCAACTAGGTCATCAGTGCGAAGCTGCTAGTGAGCTATATCCACCCTGCAGGTTAATCTTGGACAATATCTGATGATTGACTCTTTTAAATGAAACCAGAGAGCGTTGACAGAGAGGAGAAGGTAGAAATGACTCAGCCTGTAACTGAAAATATGGATGGAGMACCTCAGTTTAGCTTGTTTGTCATGCTAGCACTGATCTAATACATATAAGGCAATATAGGGTGAGGGATAGCACGAAGGCTAACAGGCTAAGCTGYGGTTCTTCTTCCATGAAGCAGCTCTGTTGTCCTCCATCCACATTTTCAGTTACAGGCTGTCATTTCTACCTTCTCCTCTCTGTCAACGCTCTCTGGTTTCATTTAAAAGAGTCAATCATCAGATATTGTCCAAGATTAACCTTCAGGGTGGATATAGCTCGCTAGCTGCCTCGCACCGAGGACCTATCCACGTCATCATTTACCCATAATGCTTTGCATGTAAATAAAATGGCTCCATCCGTGTAAAAATATATTTTAAAAAATTTACAAAACTAAACAGCCTACAGTATWTTACAGTCTTTATTTTACAGTAAAAATAAATGTTTTTCAAATAAAGTTTAACGTTACAAKTAATCAMGGATCRCTTTAAACATCAAAGCTAAGCAAAAGTTGGAAAGGTGACGGAGGAGAAAATYCAAAATAAAGATATCAAAGTAAAATGTTAAGCATGGAAAGCGGAGGGATGCTGGTTCAACAAAACATCCAMGAGTCCATCATCTTTATCTTTGATGTGCACATAAGAGTAGACACACTCAGCACTCATGTCCGCCCCACCCCACACTCCTTTGTCAGGGCCAGCGTCTGACTGCTGTTTACAGCTGCACGGGTCAATTGAAGGTCRTGAACTCAGCGTTTCAGCTGCCTGTCAGACCTGTCTGAAGCTCAAATTGGTGAACGAGAAGTCTGAACTGACCCCCCTCCCCTCACCACATCATCAACGCAATCGCCTCCACCAACACAACCCCTCTCTCCACGCTCCCGTGTCCATCACACACACACCCTCTTCTTTTCCTCCTCTCTTCATCTCTCCATCCTTCAACACAACCTTGTCACGTTGTCAGTCAGAGCAAGGATTTGTCACTCCTGGAGACGGTTGCTTAGCACCACTGGAGCTCAACTGAACTCTCTTTGTATTTTTATATATTTTTTTTACATTTCTTTATTTTGCATTTTGTGTCTTTTTGAAGCCGGGGCTCAGTGTTAGGGTTAGGGAAGCAATCTTGGTGGATGCTGATGAAGTGGTCTATACTACACTATACATTCAAAGCTCTTTCCTAGTGTTGGCCTATCTGTGTGCTTTGATCTGCTTTTATGTTTGTGCATGTGTTCGAGTACGATGTGTGGATGTGCAGAACTTGTGTGTCAGTGTGATATTTCTTCCCCACCCTTTTTCTTTGAACGGCCTCTGGAGAACTCTTCTAAGTTGAGTCTTGTCATGTCTAAACAGCAGATTTTCCAGAGGAGATGCGAAAACCTTCTGTATTTTCTAACTAGATGTGTGCATGGGACCMGGCTGCCTGTGTGATACGACAAGAAACATCTTCATAACGGAGAATAAAAGTGTACTGCGTGTGTTGTCAAAGCGCAGGTGCTCCGAGTACATGGAAATATGACAGTGCAAAGCAAAGATAAGCCGCGTGATGACAATTTAAAGAAAAACTATGCCAGCAGAGAGATATTGTGTTGACTAACCTGTTCTCCGATCCTGCAGGTGTTGGTACAGGCAGCCAGCAGACCGTTCTCCATGAGGAGCAGTAGAAGATGCCGGCTCTGCCAGCACTGCTGCTGTCAATACGCTTCATCTTCTTCCTGCTAGTGACAATGGCACCACGCTCCCTGAGTCAGGCCCCTCTTCTTTCCTCCGTTCGCATGGGTAAGTGGAAATGTATCCCCTTACTTGGTTCACAAATATTATCAAACTATTTACTTGTTTCGTTTGCCTAATTTTTATCATCTGACCAGTACAGTTCATCTCCGCACACATCACAGCTAAAATAGAGACAAAGTTGGTGTCACAGACAAAGATGTGTTAATGCCAGAAGCATTTTTCAGCAACGTCAATTATTTGGCAACCAGCTCTTTGAACGGAGTGCAACAACATCCCGAATCATCTGTGCACAAAATGACTATTGTCGACGCTGCAAACACAAACGTYGGCTCATTCCCCACACGCGCCTCTTTCAATTAATTTGACAGCGACTGAATGCTTCTGTGTTTATGTGTGAGCGAGCGTCTCAGCGCTTTCTCAGAACAATTTTGCCAAATAACCTTTTTTACAAGGTCAAACGTAGAAACATTTGCACTTCACTTCCAGCAAGGCACAAACCTGATCGGAGATTTTCTACGGTAGACCAACACAACGTAGCACAGAACTGTGAAGAGGAAGGAGAAKGATGCATGGTTTGAAAACCTTTTACAGGTAGAAATTTGAAAAAATGTGGCTTGCATTTATATTCAGCCCTTTTTATTCTGATTCCCCGTATTAAAATCCAATGCAATTGACAGTGCATTCTCAGAATTATAATAGTTCTGGAAAAATCTTTAGAGTGTTTCAAGTAAAAAGCTGAGCTGCAACTTTCTGAACCAACAGTGGTGAGAGTCCGGCCCGGCTTACACCAACATACAAAGAGTTCCAGTGATCCAGTTGGGATTTAACAAAAGCTTGATTCACCGTTCAAAGTCATTAGAGGATAAAAAGGTATTCACTTTAGATAAAAGCCTCAATTTAAAAAAGGATATTTTTGCTGCAGAGTTAATTTGTTTAAAACAGATTAAAATTTCAGTCAAATATCACCCCAAATATTTTTTATATGAGATTATACAAACAGCTCCAAGCTGCTTGATTATGTTTAATAAGTTGGAACTACCACTCATCTTTGTCTGACTCTATAAGATAAGTTTCAACCATGTCGTTTTTAAAATCAAATCAAAATATGTGTGTGTGTTTCTCCGGACGGATGTTCTAAACTACATTTCGTTCTGCACTGCATCTTGATYTTGTGTGTGAATGACAATAAAAGCTTCTGATTCTGATTTCAGCATATTTTTACTCAAGTAAAAGTAAAAATTAGCTGTCCAAGAAATTGCTCAAGTAAGAGAAGAAACTTTTTTTTTTATAAAAAAGACTACTTATATWCTGAGTAATTATATTTGTTTCAGTATTTTAAAATGATGTCATCAGACTGAGAAAAAAAAAGAAAAATGAAGCACAAATTCCGATTTTTTTAAAGACTAAACTGAAGAAAATTACAAATAAGATGATTCAAGATAACAAATTCCAACAGGAGAAAACTTATCCAAGTCTAATTATTCTCATAATCAAACTAATAGTTACAGTAAGATCAGGTTAAAGTACTTCCAGTAACTAGATCTACTGTTTATTCACTTGACCTCCAAATGTCTCTGCAGAGAAAATAAAGCTTGAGCACAAGCAAGAGGTCTCACTTCAACATAAATTAGGTGTGTCTCTGGTGTATTCCTGGTTAATACAAGTTTGTTCTTCATTCAGTGAAGTTAATTATAGTGGGTAAAATATTCAAAAATTTTACTCAAGTAAGTGAAGCAATACTTCAAAATAATCTTACTCAAGTAAATTAAATCAATGTAGTAAAACTACTCCTAAAATTATTTTTTCCCCAAAGGTTATTCAAATAAATGTAACTGAGTAAATGCAGCTATTACTACCCACCTCTGGAGCAGAATATGTTGTTATAATAAAACCATAACTTTTCAACCACTTCCAGGGTTTTGAGGCATTTTCATCTCACAAACAACAATGATGTTYGAGACTGAGTCAGTAGATGAAGTTAAATATCAATTTTTTCCTAAGCTGAAAACAATTTGAGTTGCTGTTATTTTCAGTGCAATCAAACCTAAATCAGAGGCAGCCTTTAGTAAGACCGGACGCTCAGTAAACTTCAAAAGTGACACTTTCTGCTGCTTCCGTTCACCAGCAGTATGTTTTACACAACCACTGCACTCACTGCAAACTCATTTGAGCTGTTGTGACAGTGTGATGTGTTGTGAGCAAACTGTGACTCCATAAATACTTCCATATTGTACTTTACTTGATTATAGTCATCTTCATGCCTGCAGCATGGTGAGTTCAATGATGAACTGCTGCATGGTGGGAACTTCTGGGTATTCATYACAACAACCTGTCGGTGAAGTCTTTCCACTTAGTGATGCCACAAGAGGAACTCATTCACTAAAGGACCGTGGAGCTTTTGTATTCACTAAATAGGAGTCCTTGCAAAGGGTGATATTAGCCTTTAACTGTACTGCCAACCAAATATGTAACTGTTAATAGAAGTGGGTTTTATGTTTTTAAGCACACACTACACAATATGCTGTTTTAGTCACGTACATAAAGTGAACTAAAATAAGTAAAAAAAGGCTACCAAAGTTCAAAGAAAATCTTTAAAAGACCTTCAAAAAGCCAGAAGAACTATTGATCAAGACCTTTTCAAGAAAGTTACAAGAATGTCTGGCTGCTTGCATGCAAAATGTAAAGAAATGAGGGGTAGTTTTGCACAGAGCTGAACACTGATGGTAGGAATGAACCCGAAGATGAGACACAAGTGACATCCAGTCAGTGTGTGTGCTCTGATCTGCTGATAAGGAAACTGAAATGAAAATCATGACACACACCGCCGGTGTGAAGCTGTGAAACGTCCTGTGAACGGCAAATATTTGGCACACCACATGGGATTTTCCTGTAACTCTCAAGTTCATGTATGATTGATGAACAAAGGTGACCATTGTGTGAATAATTTAATATATTTACTGAAGCAAATCAAAAAGATTATTACTGTCAAGGTCAGTGGTTGAACCCAGAGTGCAAGCAGACACTAGGAG